CACTGTCAACAGATTTTGATGCAGTCAACCACTTGATGCAATGCTAGATGAGCAATATTTTACCCGTTTTAGACTGTATGTAGTTAATCATGCTCAAAACTTTGACTATTTATCCGGATCTAAAATTCACAATTTCTTCATCATCTATATGTATAATTATCATACAGTATATACACACTGTGTATAATGTCTATACACTGCAGTTGGAGAGGCAGTTTGAGCAGGCTCTGAAGAAGAGTCGGGGAATGGTCATCCACAGAATGAAACCTGACGGAGCCTGTCTCTTTAGAGCTGTCGGTCAGTCAACCCCCACTCACTCTTACTGCCTTTGACTGAGAATAATGTTGATATCCTCTAACATTTTGTTCTCTGTGAACACGTATTAGAAAAATTGAGTCTGTAAAGACGTCTGCATAATAATATACTTGGAAAGGATATTATTATGCACAGTCTATTTGCAAGCCTATTACCTAGTCATCTTAATTGTGTGCTGTCATTATAGTAAAGACCAACTGACTATCCACCTTGACAATGTGCATGCATCGCTTGCCAGAAACGTGCTCTGTTCAGTCTAGTAGATCCTTTTCTTGTGTTGTCCAGCTGACCAGGTGTATGGTGACCAGGACATGCACTCAGTGGTCCGCAACCACACCATGGACTACATGGTAAGACCACCAGTGTAAGCCTGGCCTTGGAACTTCATTGATCTATTGTATTGTCCATGATACATGTATCACACAGTCAGGATCAGTGTGTGTGTATCGCAACTAGATGACCTGAATTTGAGCCTCTAGTGTGTCAAGTGAAGGCACATTCCAATGCGCATTAAGCCACATTATGGGGAAGGTCAATCCAAATTGCAAGTGTGAAGAATGGTACAGGCATATACATGATACAGTGTGTGCAGTCTATATATACGGTTTGGTCTCAGCCGCCCATAGTAGCCCAGTATTTTTCCTGTGCTGAAAGTGGGAGAAAGTGGATAGAGAGAGAGAGAGTGGGTGTAGTTGAGAGAAGAGAGAAGTATAAAAGGAGAGGGGGAGGAAGGGAAAGGAAGGGGACGAGAGAGAAAGAAGAGAGAGGTGGGGGAGGACAATGAGGATTTCATATCTACTCGAGACAGTCTCTGCCCTCGGCATTGGCTGATGGTTGAACTCTATACGCTATTCTGAGTCCTCATCTCACCCTATAACTCTGTAACTGATGTTGGCATGTAAACTTACAAATTGGACGTCATATATAGTAAGAATGGCTCTTTAACCCTTCCTTGCTCTTGATTAGTGTTGCACACAAGCACGTAATGGGCATCATACGAAAACCTGTAAATACGCAACTTGACGAATGTACTATTGTACATACATACAGTTGAAAAAGTAGAAAGACTTGCAGTGTTTATGAACGAGGGTTAGGATTACTCCTTGGTCTTTGTGAAGTTAGAGGATTTTCTGCAATGTACGTACAATGGTCACCCCAGCTTCTTCATCTTTTCCCCCTCCCTCTTCACCATTCCATCTCTTTCCCTCTTCATCTCACTCCCCTCTTCCCTCTCCTTTTCTTATCTCCCTCCTCTCTCCCTCCTCTCCCCTCTCTCTCTCCTCCTCTCTCCCTCTTCTCTCCCTCCCACAGCTGAAGAATGCCGACTACTTCTCTCAGTATGTGACGGAGGATTTCGAGCAGTACGTCAACCGGAAGCGCAATGACCACAGCTATGGCAATAACCTTGAGATGCAGGCCATGGCTGAGATGTACAACAGGACCATTGAAGTCCACCAGTATAGCATCGGTACGTACAACTTCATGGTTTACACAGTTAGGTTCCGTGCTAGAGGTAATTATAATGCACTACAAACCTTCCCCACTCAACTGTTGGGTGTGGTCTGATGGATAAAGATGTGCCGACTAGATCGTGAGGTCCACTGTTCGATCCCGGGTCTGGGGAGTTTTTTTTATAATGATGTAATATGAGTGTTGATATAAGAGGAACGTTTTTTCATCACCTCTCGTGGCCAGCCCAAGTGGCTAAGTGGTTAGAGACGTGGGGACTGACACATAAGGTGCCCGGTTCGAATCCCGGACCCGCACTGAAACTGTCAGGTGGTCCAGAGCATTGGCTGGGAACAGCTCTGGTTCCTCCCCTTACCCACGAATCTACCACTGACCCACGCCACCGCCACATACATCTCAAAGGTCAGCGTACAGTTTGGCATTGCACTGCGCCCATAGACGTCTGTCTGGAGAGATGTAGGTGGCATTTTTTTTCAACCTTAGAACCAAATATTTTTGCCTAAATCAATCCATGTCTCATAAACTTCGGCGACGAGGTAGATACTAGGCAAGGCAAACAAATCAACTACACACCCAGGTTGCAGTGCATATACTGTTTGGACAAAATTAGACACTGTGTTGAATGTGTTTTCTTCCCTCTCTCCTTCTCTCTTTCACATGCAGATCCAATCAACATCTTCTTTGGGATGTACAAGCCGGACAATGCTCCCATAAGACTCAGCTACCACTACGGTGTCCACTACAACAGTGTTGTTGATCCATACTCCGCCACGGTTGGGGTGGGCCTGGGATTGGCCGGTCATAAACCTGGGGTGAGCCAAATCAAATGCCCACCCACTCAGTCAATCCTTTTGTTGAACGTACATTACATGTAATAACATTTTCATAATGTGTATGGTGGCTGCATGATTAAAGACTATTGGAATCCAAATTTAATTGGCACCAAGCATGTATATACTGTATTGTACTGTACCTCTATGTTGTATCATCTGAATTACGCAATACTCTTGCATCTTTCTGATGCTCTCCATTTTTATCCAATCACGTCCCTGTCCAGGCTTAGTTACACAGAGATGAAAATGTGTCCACGTTTGCATTTAAGGCTAGTCAGAAAATCAACACTGGCTGTTCCTTATGCACATCTACAATGCATGAACAGTTAGAGATGACCTGAATCTCGACCCCCCCCATGCAGCTGGCAGACAAGATGTTGATGAAGGATGCTATGAAGCATTCTGAGAATTTCCACCTGGAGCAGGCCCTCCTGCAGGACCATCTCCAGCTCTCTGACAGGGACACCACCTACGAGGCTCTGGAGGAGGCCGTCGCACGAGAATCATACCTCACCTGGCTCCGCGAGCAGGAGATGAGAACTCGCTCCGGGCAACATGGACTGGAGGTAACCCTCCCGTAGCACACTTGCTTGAGGTTTGCCGTTGTACATTCACCCTGCCGTAGAAGAGTTGTCTTTGTGTCGTAGTACGTAGTATTTTGAGCCTGAGCCTGCTGAGCAGCCCTGGTAGCTCAGTGGTAGGGCCTAGACTGCAGATCGTGGGTTCGAATCCCACCCAGAGCAGCTCTTTTTTCGGAGTTGTCGTGGGTTGTAGTTGCTTGCCTGTGCTTTGCGATTTCGCTGAGGTATAGTGAGTGGCCGAGGAAATTATGGAGGTACTTTCACATGGTGGAACCCGGCTTACTGCCTTTCACATGGTGGAACCCGGCTTACTGCCTTTCACATGGTGGAACCCGGCTTACTGCCTTTCACATGGTGGAACCCGGCTTACTGCCTTTCACATGGTGGAACCCGGCTTACTGCCTTTCACATGGTGGAACCCGCTTACTGCCTTTCACATGGTGGAACCCGGCTTACTGCCTTTCACATGGTGGAACCCGGCTTACTGCCTTCACATGGTGGAACCCGGCTTACTGCCTTTCACATGGTGGAACCCGGCTTACTGCCTTTCACATGGTGGAACCCAGCTTACTGCCTTTCACATGGTGGAACCCAGCTTACTGCCTTTCACATGGTGGAACCCAGCTTACTGCCTTTCACATGGTGGAACCCAGCTTACTGCCTCTCACATGGTGGAACCCAGCTTACTGCCTTTCACATGGTGGAACCCAGCTTACTGCCTTTCACATGGTGGAACCCAGCTTACTGCCTTTCACATGGTGGAACCCAGCTTACTGCCTTTCACATGGTGGAACCCAGCTTACTGCCTTTCACATGGTGGAACCCAGCTTTACTGCCTTTCACATGGTGGAACCAGCTTACTGCCTTTCCATGGTGGAACCCAGCTTACTGCCTTTCACATGGTGGGACCCGCTTACTGCCTTCACATGGTGGACCAGCTTCCTGCTTCACATGGTGGAACCCAGCTTACCCTTCACTGGTGGAACCCAGCTTACTGCCTTTCACATGTGGAACCCAGCTTACCTGCCTTCACATGGTGGACCACTTACTGCTTTCACATGTGGAACCCAGCTTACTGCCTTCACATGGTGGAACCCACTCTGCCTTTCACATGGTGGACCCAGCCTTTCACATGGTGGAACCCAGCTTACTGCCTTTCACATGGTGGAACCCAGCTTTCACATGGTGGAACCCAGCTTACTGCCTTTCACATGGTGGAACCCAGCTTACTGCCTTTGGGGATTGTAATGGAGTTCTGGTGTTTGAGTCGTGGTAATTCGAGACAGGTGGTCTTTGGATGGACAGGTTGCGCACTACTATACTTTCTGTGGGAAATGTGGGTGCATGTGTGTGTGTGTAGTTTTTTTAGGCTGCAGGGGATTTATTGTGGTTGCTATTGAATGCAGGTTAACCCTGCAGCATATTTTTTAATTTAAATCAAGTTTGGTAGCAGTTGTGTTACACATAAAAAGAATATGCATAATAAGTGAATGAGCCACAGTCGTCTACATGTCAGGGGGATATAATTCCTAGGCATGTTTAGATTAGAGTAGTGGCAACCCCTGGGTAGTTCCAGAGCCCATACCCCCTCATTCCCTCTGTGTGTGGCGAGCTGTGTGTACACATGCATATTGTGCAGTTGCTGCATATTTTTTCGGAGGCTTCGATGCCTTACAACGAAGGGTGCGGTGGCTTGTGTGGAGGTGTGCGAGCGTCGTGTCCCTATAAGCGTAATTTGGCTATGATCTACAGTAATGTATGATATGTGGGTGGGGATCATAATATGGACATGCTGTAGGCATAATTAACGCTCGGCGTGCATGCGCAGCGAGGGTTACTGTAGTTGTCGTGTGTGTCTGTCTGTCAGTCAGTTTGTTCCACAACATCTCACTTCACTAGCCATGAATCGCTCCACAAACAATACCACGTATTCGGCATCAGGTATAGATCGAAAAATACATGTGGGGTTTTCTCTGAAACTGGAGTTACGGCGTGACACACGAGCGAAAAAACCAGTATGCTAATTATAACAGGCTTACCTCGAGCGGGTCCGCTTGCTCTGTGTGTCTTGAAGGCACAAGAAGTCACAACGAAGGGCCTGCATCGACTCCCGCATGCTATCTACTGCTGTAGCAGCCCGTGTCAGACTCTCTGCGAGCTACTAGCGTGTGGATACCACGAGTAAACGCATACTAATAGCCCGGCCCATCAATTAGCGGTATCGCGTAAGGGCACTTCACCGAGGGTTTGCACTTTAGTGCTTTTTCATTGATGTCTGAATGTGATTTCTCTGTACAGTCAACTTCAGCAGCCTGTGTGAGTGGCAGTGTGGCAATGACCCACCACCCCCTACCTCCTCCCCTCAACACCCTCTCCTCCTCCCCTCCTCACCCCTCACACCTCCCCGAGTCCTCTGCCCGCCACCTCTACACCCTCTCCCCCTCCTCCCCACTCCCTCACTCTTCCACATCCACCCCTCCCCCATCCTCCTCCTCCAAGCAAAAATTTGCGACCGGGAAATCAACCGATAACAAGCTGCACACTAAAACCACCAGTGCCACTCTCCACACTAGTTCATCTGAGTCAAAGCTGAGCTCCTTGAAGAGTGTGTTGAGACAGGCACCCCCGCAGCGAAACTCCGCCTCCTCATCAAGCCTACACGGTCTTCGGGTGTACAACCGCTGGGCGTCGGCCGTCCCACGCCGCTCGGCTTCGCTGGGTAGCCACCAACACGGCTCTGCACGTACGTCCCCCTACAATTCCCCCCGTACCTCCCCTCACGGGTCCAGACGAGGGTCGCGTCACTGTTCCCCCTACACCTCCCCCTATCACTCCCCACGGAACTCCATCCATGGCTCTCCTCCACTGGCATCAACCTGTAGTAGCCCTACCACCACTGTGGACGACCCTGTGTTTAAGTATCACTCTCCCAAACCCGTCGCTACTTCGTCTTCTGCTGCGGGTGTGGTCGCGGGGGCCAAACCCCTTGCCCCTGGTATTAACAGGAATATTGGGAGGGGTGGGGACTTGCCTGCAACCAAGAGCAAGAGTGTTCGGTCCTCACTACCGGCCAAGACACACCCTTCACCTCCTCCCCCCTCACACCCCTCCTCCTCCTCGGCCCAGGTCTCGGGGCCAGCCTATGCCCCTGATTTTGAGTCTGGACGAGTCCTGGACCAGCTCCCGTTTGAATACAGCTCCTTCCTTGATCTCCCTCTCTCTGCTTTCGGTAAATGCCTCCTCTAATGTAATGTCCTCTCTTCTGTTCACATACTACGTGTGTATTATAACTAGAACGAATACAACGCATTTTTGGCGAGCGAACACAAGAGCCGTACGCAACGAAAGTTCAGTTTGTTTGCCAAATCACTGTATAGTTGGATATTCTATAAAAGCCAAGTCGAATGAGCTCTCTTTTTAAGAGTCCAGTGCAAACACAGCTGGCAGGCTGTACTGGCTCACCAATCTCCACCCACCCCACCCCCAGCCCCCGTAATTTCCTCTTGGTGATTAACGTGATTTCTCCGAACTTTACTGTACGTGTACATATGCTCATGTCACAGAAAATGCGCACCGGGACACATACGTACGTATCTGGCTCGGAGGGGGGAAAAACTGTCTGCTTGTTTGGCTGGCTAATAGCCATGCATGGCACCAAGCTAGCTCTTGGTCATAATTATGTGGCAGTTACAGCTGCTGTCTTTGATCCGCTCAACTTCACTGACTCTTTAATGTTTGCCGATTCACACTACACGTATGGCCGCATGTCCACGTAAGAGTTGAACATTCATGGAACACATTTGTTATATCTACACACTTGCTTTTCTGTCGTACAATGTGTATTGCCAATTCCTGCTCTTTAAAATATTGTAGAGTCTGTGTGGGAAATTATATAGAATTTTTTCGCTAAAGAATTCTTTTTTCGAATATCATCCTCTGGATACATAATATTGATATTGATTTTGCAGTTGTAAGTACAGTACTTTTATTTAACCAGGCCATATGCCTTTGTGAGGGGGCAGTCTGACCATACTTTGTTTCAACGTGAGAATTACTAGTGGTACTACAAGAAGCTTTGGCAGCCAAACACCTAATGTCCTCTCTTGCTTACAGAATATCACTTCAGGCGTCTTCAAACGTGTGCTAATGATGTGGCACACTGCAATGCTGCTATTGTACTACCGTTTGTACCTAATAGTCATTCAGAACTTCTGTAAACCTAGAAACATGCTGTGTGCACAGGAGGACATTTATGTGCTAACACCCAGTTGGTGTTGATGTGACTGGCTCAGTTACAGGGAGGAGAGGGAGAGAGAGGGAAGGATGTAGAGAGGGGGGGAAGCAAGGGAGGAGTGAGGGAGAGTAAGAGAAAGGGGTTGTGGGAGGTACTATTATCAATTTTATAGGGGGCTTGCCCTCTTTCGCATAGATATACGAAGTAATACATATAAATATGAGTGGAGACAAGTAATATAAAAGGGGCAGGGGGCTTTTGGGGTATGAATCGAGCATTTCCGTTGGGTCTCAATGTGATTTGTCTCAATGGGATTCTGTTTGGGTCCAGCCAAACCCAGTACTGTGTCCCCATTGTATTGATAACTGTTCTTCTAGGGCACGGCCTACTGCTCCCACACTACTGTCATTCTCTGTATGTGTGTATGGGGAGGTCACTGTCATGGTGGTAAGTATTGGGAGATTAGCACAAACCCTTTGCAGTCTATATCACTAGCTGTACTGTTCAGTTGCATAGATATTTTGTTACTCCTTACAGTCCTCCTTTATCTATCTCCCTTTTGCAAGCCCTTGTAACAAGCACGAGTTGTTGAGCGGCTCTTGGGACCTTTTGTTACTGAAGCGGTGAAATTGGCAGGGGAGGGACTAATAGTATTAGCCAATTATTGCCCAACTGTCAAATATCATGCTTTGCTGCACACACCATACGTGAACAACGGTGTATTACAAGATCTTCAGCCTACGCATCGTGTGGGTTGTTTTAGTGATGTTACGTGTCTGACGTGGCCCCTGTTATATTCTGTTCATCTCGTGCTCACCCATGTTCTTTCCGTGCCCGTTCACATACTCCCAATGATGTAACTTCTCTCTGCGAGGTTTAAACCCTAATATGTACAGTATGTAGCTATGTACCAACTGCATACAGTTTCTTACTACACAACAAGGAAGACTGTTGATGCACACCTAATGTGTACGTGTGTGTACATACATAGCGAAAGGGATGGGTGGTCAGAGTTCCAATCATGTGACACTATAGTTTGCAATATGTAGTATACATGTGTCACCAACAGATGCCCTAGAAAACTGGCTTCTCCTCCGCCTTCTCTTCTCTTTGTGTTTTTAAAATTTTATTATCGCTGACCGCTGCCACGATGTGTGTATTCAACCGGAGGGAGTGTTTGGCCGTCCCAGGGTGCATAATGGCAGTGTTGGTAGTCTCTTTGGCACGTGGTTGAACTGCCTCTTTTGTCCTGCGAATTTTAGACTGCAGTACCGACACTTGATTCCAAATACATCTGAATGCCCCCCTCACGCGTGCACACGCACACACTTACATATGCAATCATTATTATGTACTGTCCAACCAAGGCGAGTGCAAAAAAAAACAGTCCAACTACACCCTTTTCAATAAAAGCCACTCTGGATGAGACCCAAACCCACGAAAGACCTGCACTAGACTGTCCTCCAGCTCAGCTACCCAGGCAGCTCCGTATGTCAGTCTCAAATCCAACATGCAAAGGCCAGTAATTATGGTGGCACATAAAATCCTCATAGTGCAACACAGGCAGCAGACTTTACAATTTTGATTTTGCCTGGTGTGTCACGTACCGGCATAAAAAGGTGACAGTTGCTTGTAGTTACCACAGACAGCCGTGTAGACGTACAGCCTAACAGCATTCTGAGGAACAGAGGAATGTACAATATGGATGCATTCTCTGTCCCTCCCACACTTGGGCAATCTGCTGATGGGCGTGTATGTCACAATCTTGTCATGTGAACACTAGACGGCTGTCGAAGCTGTACCCTTCCACTGACCAAGTCCCACTGCGACATATGGACGACCAAGCCTTGGAGCATTCACTGAGGTTCTGTTGGCTGTTAGCAAGCATTTTTACCGAGACTCCCACCTAGTTTTTCCATCGTGGGGCAAGCTGCATATTTATGATGGGTGAAGGCCAAGCATGTGGTGTCCGTGATATACTGTGAAGGCCTGGGGTGAAGTAAGCATGTGGTGTGCCTTGTAAGGAGGGCAAGAGCACGTGGTGTGTGGAACCCCTCTGACACCCCTGAAATGAAGACATCTCTCTCAGTACGGCACTTTCAGTTTTTTGCATGTAATTTAACCCACACCTCCCAATATGGACACTTTCTTCTACCCTGTTGGTATCCAGAATAGAGGGGCTCAACTTTATGCGTACTGTGAGGGTACTGTCAGGGTAGAGCATGTGCTGTGTTTGTGATGTACCGGGCTCAAAAGCATGCCGTGGCATGTCAGTCAGATTTGTGTGTTTCAGTCACGGACTGTTGCTAGCAGTGTACACATGTAAATACCTGTTAGACTTAGGAATTGGATAAACAGGATTCCTCGGTTGTCTGCCGCATTTTTCCGTGGCTGATGTGTAGTTACCTGTGTGTGATCTTGATGGGCTGTGGCATGATAGGCATCCACTCTCTGATGGCTAGTTGGTGAGGACATGTATCTAATGAAGGCCTGTGGTTTGCATTGGTATGGAACTTGATATGTGCAAATTCATAATCCCCAGTCTCTTGCTACTGATTTGAGAGTCCTGTGTGTGTGTGTGTGTGTGTGCGTGCGTGCGTGCGTGCGTGCGTAGGAGTGTTTTCACTCTGGTGGAGTATACACTGAGGGTTGGAGAAGATTGAGGGGTTTATATAGTGTGGGTTGAGGGGTTTAACTCTTGACTATTGGGCTCCTTGTGTTCTTTGCCTCTGGCAATGGTGAAGTATCTGATTCACGACTGCTATAAAGGGTGTATCCTCTTCTGCAAGCTGGGTAATAATATACCAGCAGCTTCCTTGCTCCCCCAGTTGTTCCCCCATTGGTGTCAAGTTTCAAATGGTGCTCAGGAGCTGTTATCTGAACAAAGTGGTAGCTACAGAGCTTCACTTGCACCAAGTGGGTGTCCAGCTTCCACATATATTGTGTCAGTGCTATCAGCCATAAATCTAAGGTCAACTACTGTATTGTGGGGCATGAGTTAAACAAAACGGTCACTTGTGTAATGTGAAGTGATTTGAAGGGGGCAAAACCAGGGGAAATTTTGCCCCCTTGCCTTATTCCCTACAAGAGTGACTCTCTCTCTCTCTATCTGCCTGTCCAGGTCTGAGTGAGTGGGAGGATGACAGAGTACTGGCCGCGGTCCTGGCCGCATCTCAACAGGAGTATCTCCAGGGACTCAAACAGAACTCCAGAGGTGGCGCCGAGAGTTTGTAAATATCGGACTGTTTTTTGGTTTGTAGTTGAGTCAGACAGCAAGGTGTAGCAGGGCGGGGCACGTACGTACTGATTGAGTCACAGAGTGTTGTATTGTAGCATGTATCATGACATTATTTATGAATCTCATGTCCCCTCCCTCACCGTTGATTGTACACTGTGTGATTGTAATAATTGTATATAGACTTATTACGCACAGCCAGCGGACCTTCCTCCTAGTGGAGTGTGTAGTTATTCTTGTAGCCTAGCTCGTAAGAATTCTCGTCTGATGAAAATGATTGTGCCTTCACCAGTCAGCCTGAAGTGCAGTATACACAAACCAGAGTTCGATTTTACTTTTGCGCACGCTAAATAAGAACATTCAGCACATTTTTTGTTAAAATCTCCATGACAACGCAAATCCGTCAATACGCGCACACCGCTCGAGCTGCAAAGATCAGAAGGTTGCAAACCGCAAACTCGTATTTTGTTTACCCGTGCGGCCCCGTCCGGAGAACTATACCTACAACCAGCTGATGGACTACAATGCAGCGAAGATAAGGTCGTAATCATTGCTTAGTTCAGTCGAAAAGCCTCGCTAGATATCATACCCTACATCCCAAGCTACTCGGAATGCTGGCGACGATGTACAGTGGACATTCTCTCACCAGAAGCAGTTCCTACCAGGGCTCCGAAGTCTTTGGCGGCGGTGGGAAAGACCCCCGCGGATCTTAGACGAAAGAGCCGCCAAAGCCGACCACGCACGAGTCAGAAAACAAGGAAGCAGCTACGGCGGAGGGCTTGGCTTGCCAACTCTCAAGTCGGCAGTCTCACAACCGCAAGTGAACGGCTTGCAACCCTCTTCTCTAAAGAACAACTACGCCAACTACTCGACGCACATGCTCCCGCAAATCTCCGGTGTTCAGGTGCAGCAACTCTTCGAAACAACCACCGGGGGGCCGTCGGATAATCCGCACGCCCTCCCGCACCTGCGGAACGGGCTCTCGTACCCCCACCGCCCCAACTACCACCAATCTAGGACCTCTCAAGAAGCTCTGAACGGGGAGACTCTGCCTCCTGTCCACCCGCCCAACCACCACCGAGCTCTCAACGGCTCCGCAGGCTCCGGCTCCGGCCTAACCACCACCTCCACCCCACTCTACAAGACCAAACATCTCTCTCCCAGCGAGGCTCTCCGCATGTACGGGAGCAAGTTGAACCTCTTCGAGAAACAAGAGATCCTGTCGTTCCCCCAGGTCTATTTCATAGGCCAGCACGCCAAGAAGAGAGAAGGGGTACCAGGAGGCCCCAAAAACGCGGGCTACGATGATGACCAAGGCAGCTACCAGATGGTGGTGCACGACCACGTTGCATACAGATACGAGGTGCTCAAGGTTTTAGGAAAAGGTAGCTTTGGGCAAGTCCTAAAGGCCTACGACCACAAGACGCAGCAGCATGTGGCGCTAAAGGTGGTCCGCAACGAGCGGAGATTCCACCGGCAGGCGAACGAAGAGATCAGGATCTTGGAGCACCTCCGAAAGCAAGACAGGGACAACACACACAACATAGTCCACCTCCTAGACCACTTCACCTTCCGCAGCCACGTCTGTCTCACGTTTGAACTCCTCTCTATCAATCTCTATGAGCTCATCAAGAAAAACAAGTTCCAGGGCTTCAGCCTGGCCCTCGTGAAGAAATTTGCCCACTCCATTCTCCTATGCCTCGAGAACCTCCACCGCAACAGAATCATCCACTGCGACCTCAAACCTGAAAACATCCTGCTGAAGCAGCTCGGCCGTAGCGGGCTAAAGGTGATTGATTTCGGCTCAAGCTGCTACGAGCACCAACGAATCTACACGTACATCCAGAGTCGATTCTACCGTGCACCCGAGGTCATCCTTGGTGGAAAGTATGGGATGCCCATTGACATGTGGAGTCTCGGGTGCATCCTTGCCGAAATGTTGACCGGTTACCCGTTGTTCCCTGGAGAAGATGAGATGGACCAGCTCTCGTGTATGATGGAGGTGCTCGGGATGCCTCCTGCTAAGATGCTCGAAAACTCCAAGCGGACACGCAGCTTCTTTAGCTCCAAGGGCTACCCCCGCTATTGCACAGTGACCGTTAACCCCGACAATTCTGTAACGTTTGGCGGGAACCGGTCGAGAAGAGGCAAATACAGGGGTCCCCCCGAGAGCAAGGAGCTGAGTCGAGCGCTCAAAGGCTGCGAGGACCCTCTCTTCTTGGACTTTCTCCGGCAGTGCCTCATCTGGGACCCGGCCCTACGACTCACGCCGGGCCAGGCTCTCAGACACAACTGGCTGCGTCGCAAGCTCCTCCGGGCACCGCACGACAGCCTTTCACAGAACACTCCGGGGACAACGCAGCCATCTAGTCGACTGCCCCCCACAGGACTCCCGAACGGAACTGGGAGAGTGGGGGATGGTGGGGCAGGGTATCGAAGGATGAGACACTCTCACGGACAGTTTGGGTCGGGCACAATCCACACTCAATCTCCCAGTCTGGAAGGCGGCAGTGGCGAGCGGACAGTGCTGCCAAACATCATTGGCCGGTAGCCTTGGCTGACAGTCCCGTAGAGAGCACAATAATCAGGTTACCATGTCATCTTTTCCTTTTGTTTCTCTGCCTGTTCCATACCATCAAACCCCCACCCTGTAGTGTTCTCAATCTCATTCCCTCTCTCTATAATATTTCTGTTTCTCTCTCTTCTCACCCCCCTCTCTGTCATCTTTATGCCCACTCTACTGCTATCATTATTTTGTATCTCTCTATGTATAAAATGTCTATTTATTATGTTTGTTTCTTGAACCACAAAGACGGAAAGCGGCAGAATATGGGTGCACTTTCAGTGAAAAGTCAGCAGTGTGATGGCTGCCAGGTCATAATTCCAAATTGAATCTGCATGTTTTACATACCATTATGCATTACTCACCAAGAAGGTCCATTCCGAGCATTTCTTGTGCATAAAAAGTTGTGAACTTTGAGGTCCAATAACCTTCTTGCATTGCGTGCCCTTGAAACAGGGATGCATGCCAGCCATTCTGGAGGCCAAGGTATAATAAGCCACTGTTACCTGTCGGTAATTGCAGATTATATTTCAGAAGGCTCCGTCTCACATATCAATATGTGTTTGGCCTAGTACAACTCAGACAGCTACATAGGGCCATATTCACGGTCATGGGTTCAGATAACCCTTGGCTTGGATGGTATATAGACCTGTGCATGTGGGTTCATGCTGCCCACAATAGCATAGCAACAGCATAGCTCTCGTGGGAAGCTCTTGTCTTCATTCAGTGGGGCGAGTCAGTCCATATGTGTTTGAGAAAGGATTGTAGGGCCTGGAGCAGGATACCTGACCAGTGAGGTGGCTTTTACTGATTGTGGCCAAAACTTCAAAGGGTTGCACCATCAACACCATTCTTTCAAACCAGCACAAACACCTCTCTGTTAAAACAGTGATGATGGGGCTCACCCTAGACAGCAGGTTGGAGCTGTGCTCAGAGCACTGATGTGGATTACGAGGGACTAATGCCAGGGACTAATGCCACATGCACAACACAGTGAGTACTACTGTTTTAGTACTAGTCATGGCCACAGTATGGGATTAGATTTCAGGGGTGCATAAAACGAGTTTGCAGAGGAAATGTTTGGAATGGTTGGAGATGGCAAGAGAGCTGCATTCAGGTGCCATTTCAGGGTGTAGCTAATGCTTTCTGCATGGATGGATATGCATGAAATGCTTGTGATATCAGCAAGATTGCGGCAATGAGCTGCAACGTGATACACGTATATGGCATCCAAGGCATTTCTGCGTGTCAGTTGACCACAGGAGGGATGGAGCTATGCGAATAGTTTACACGCCGAGTATGGCCTTCGCTGAACCACACACATTCAGTGCTTTCACACACACAGCCCGAGTGCTCAATCAAATGAAGCGATTTTCGAACGACAGGTAAAGAGATCAATTCTGCCAGAATGTGCAAACAAATGCAGAGTGTCCACACAACAAACAGCCAGTAAAGTTAATGCTGTACTCATTAGTGGTAGTGTGTTGCCCCTTCACTCCACATACAGACCAAGACCTGTCAGCTGGTACACAAACAGGGACTGGGGAATGTTCCGGGAATGGTATGGCAGAGCACCGAGAGGGGTTCTCTCTGCCATATGTGTCGTCCTATAGGTTCTCTACACAGGAAGTCCACCTCTGTTCCCACACATGCCTTCAGAAGGAATGAGTGTACATACCATTGATATGTTATTACTTCTGAAGACCTGATATATAATGCCCTTTTTCTAGGAAACTGAGTGTAGACATGAACTGCCATGATACACTTCTCAAAATTAAACAGTCTATATAATAATTGTCAGAACCAGATTGGCTTTCTACCAGCTCGCCAACTATACTAACAGTACTGACATGAAGAGCATCAGAAAATGTGTGCATGCATGTGCATAAAAGGAATTGTATAAAAATGGATGCCGCATGAGTGTGTTGTGTCTCCCCTTGAGCCTTCTGACACACGCAAACAGCATACAGTGATAGTTTGTGTTTTGTACCGTGCACAAACTGATGCAATTTGCGACCTGTATGAAATATGGGTATACAAACAATGCCTCGTGTTAATTTCCGTTCCATTTACTTTGCAAATGGCATGAGACATGAACCGCTGGCATTCACCGGTTACGTGGTGATAGACACACACTTCTATGGAGCAGTGCAGAACAAACACTAGTAACCTATGACCTAATATCAAGTGACAGATATCAGGGGTCAACCCCCCAAAAGGAGTCGGTATTACGCGAGTTGGCCAACAGAAGACCATGATTCCCTGTGCTGGCAACAGACGCAGAACCCAGTCAACTGACGCTGTGATTGACCTTGTTCTGACTGACACTAGCTGAGACCAGACGGTCCGGTCCAATAGACAGCTACCATACACAGGAGAACTGTATAGGTCCATTTAGAGGAAGCAATGACAAAGGAGCGAATCAGATGTCCCAGACGTTAGTAATGTTGAAACGCTACAATATATTATGTTCACCGTTATGTCTACTGAATAAAGTTGGCTGCACTGAAAACCATGAAAAAGCAGGAAAATGTTTTGTTGGAATGCTTGAATACTTTGTTTGTTCACTGCTGTGGTTCATCTAATACATTATACATATTGTAATTTTGCAAATGGGATGAAACGTAATTATGCTCACTTCCAACACACAAAATGAGCGCATGTACACAGATATACCACAAATAAGAAGCCATGAATACAAAGCATGGATAAGGGGGATAAAAAATGTCAAATTTTCATCGTAGTCCCACTTCTACGGTACGAGACAGTCAGAAGTTAGCGCGACAGCAGGCGAGCCGGGAGAGACCGACATTCTGGCACCCGCTGGCACAGTCAGCGTACGGACCCTCCCCGAGGTTGTCGCAGTAGAACAGTAGCTCCGGGTGGAGGGAAGGGCAAGAGGTCGTAAGGTCGCTCAGTCCTCGCTGCGAGATGTTGGGGAGCCCGGACAGGTTGAGATAGCGGAGATGAGGTAGGCCCCCTCCCACTGCCAGGGTTCTGTGGGAGACACAACGGCTGATGAGGTATGTAGGTTACAGGAAAAATTCTGTCGATTTTTTTTAGCTCTGTGCGATAAATCAGGAACCTGCTACTGACCAATCAGATTCTCAATTTAAATGGGCTACTGTACCTGGCATGCAAGTATGGTGAAGTGACCCTATAATAGGTACGTACCTATTACAGTCAACTAAATTCCAACTCTTACAGTATCTGTCTGGGTTATAAGCAGTATGTAACTGGTAACATAATATGTCTAGCATGTGCACTGAGTTTTGCCTGCAGACACAGTGTACATACCCTCACATTGTGTTTTGGTCTGAACAAAGGTGTTAAACAGGATGACCCTGCTGTGTGTGTATGCACACAATATTCCAGCAAAGACACACATGATTAGTTATCCATTCTTCCTGCAAGCATCCCATAGAGTATATTATACATCCAGTATATAATTGTTAATTGTCTTATACAGAGATATTTGTTGATTGTACAGCGTAGGATAGTTCTCAGGCTGGCCAATTGCATAACGATCCAAGGACACAATACCAACACTTAGAATGTGATTGGTGATGACTAATGTGCAAACAGTGGATCAGGAGGGGTACGGGAGATGGGAAACAGTGTCAACTCCTCCACTGGCTCTCTGGCATTCCTGGCCCATGCACACCTGACACACTAGCCTTCTACTGTGTCCATTACACGGGGCTGGGTTGAGACGACCACTTCCCGTTTATGAAATACGGGAGGACCAGACCATTGCTGGCCTTCAGCAGACAGGAAGAGGTGAAATTAGTCATGCAAGTACGGGTAAAATCCAATGCCTATGGTGTCTATTAGCGTACATATGTACTGTACGACTGTGAACAAGGTTGTAAAGTTAGTACATAATCTGATGCCTATGATATCCAGTAAGTATTACGTAAGATAGCTTGTATATACCGTGCTCGAAAAAGTGTATAATATAATTATGCATTTATCCTCTCAGGTATGTATGGGTTACCCCATCGAACATTAATACCTGTGGTTTATCATGTAAAATGTAACATAATGCAAGTCGTCTGTGGTGTATCTGGTACATATGAAATAAATTGCTGTGTTCCAGTGACGTTCAATGATACTATTACATGTACATATTTACATACATATCAAAAACAAAGGCCCCATAAACACTGCACTGGCCAACATAAGAGCAATGTTTGTATACAAATCCCCATTTTAACAAAATTCACAAGGAATCAATAATGCACAGAGTACAAGTGCATTACCATACATTGCGACATGAAGTTGTAAATCTCACATGTCACGCCCAGATTTTACTCACAGTTTCCAGTCGTTAAACATTGGGCGGTTCACTCTTTTGATACAAAATGTAGCGCAGTGTAATATATAATCCTCGAGGGAGAAATTTTTACGGTTTTTAAAAACTATCCATGAAATATTTCTTTTGTGTGGCAGGGATATTACTACAGTGAAAAACAGGCAATCAGCAAAACTTTTCTTCACATCAAATTCTGGTTCGTAGTTCGATTCCCAACCGTTATCCATCTCTCTTAAAGTTTCTGGCTATACGGTGTATGTGAGTTGCCAGGCGAGGGGTTTTCTTAAGCGACAATATGCACCAGCTGGAATGTGCCGACTACAAACAATACACCAGCCCACCCCGACCACCCAGCCTCATCGGTATGCAGCGGGAGACTGAATATGCACACAACGGCACATTCGGAACTAAACCAATTATCGTTGCTATGTACTACACCAGTGACAACAGTGACACGTACGACGCTGTGTCGCATTACGGTATGATTATCTGAAGCCTTGCTACTAACTAGCATGTGCCATGTGATATGCACACATCATGCCCAGTGTATCTCAATAAAAAATGCAATTTGTTACAACTTGGAACGAGCATTTTTGTGGTGTCATTTCCATGAACACGAATCTCGTCACTTACATTACTTCTGTGAATCAGATGCTAATGTCATAACATCGTGATACAGTCACACGTATATAGTAACAAGGAAACGAAGGGGGGAAACTAAGTCAGGTCACACCAAATGCTTGAGCTAAAACATGATGGTATTATCACACTGGTGTTTACACACTATGCCATTGACCCGCAACAAAGACCCCAGACACAAACACAAACAATCGTTTCCCGTTCTCCCCTCTCCTTGGCTCACCACCTTACTGCCCCCCGCCCCCTCACCAACACTGATACAATAGACAGTAGAATGGCAGTTGAATGAGCAGTAGAATGGCAGTTGAATGGACTGTAGAAGGGACAGTAGAATGTAGTAATACACACCATACCTCAATCCAACGTCAGTGATCTGATGGCAGCCAGAAAGAACAAGGCTTTGCAGCATTGTCTGTTTCTTCTCTCTCCTACCTCCACCTCCTCCTCCTCCATCACACACAGCATTCTCAGCCTTCTCACGACCACCACCTCCTCCTCCCACTTCTCCCCCTCCCCTCCTCTCCTTTCTACGGCTTCCTCCTCCTCCTCCACAACACTGTGCAACAAAACAGGAGACACTAGCTGACACAGAATGTACAACAGAGTGCATAGCTTTACTAGTTCTCTACAATCAATCATTGTTTTCAAGTCCACATTAGCATTAAACTGGACTTCATACAGATGTACTAAGATAGTATACTTTTCTGAAGGATGTGGTGTTGTGAGTGGATGGTGGAGAGACGGCCTGTGCCAGTCTCTGCAGAGAGGTGTCTGTGATGAGACTGCAGCCTGTCAGATCAACGTGACTCAACCTCCAGTGGTTACCACTACTGGACAGCAGACTGGGGGGAGGGGGTGGGAGCATTATTTAGAATCACGTAGTACATTACAGTATGTGTGGTGCCCGTCACATAAAATCTCAGATCACTTGGTAGGCTCGCTTAGCAATCAGATGACCAGGTAGGCTCACTTAGCTCATCAACAATTTGACTTGCAATAGATTGATTCATACTGACAGAGTGACAACAGTATGTAGCTCACCCCTGAAAGGCAAAGTCAGAGATGCCAGTGTACGACAGGTCCAAGTAGCTGAGGTTGGGACAATGTCTCAGCATTCTGAACACCTACATACAGCACACACAAACAGTAGCTATTTGGGACACGGATTGTGTGTTCATGCTAATAGATATCTCATTTTCAGATTTACATTAGAGGGATTCTGCTGAGCTCACATGTAATCCAGGCCAAATCATGGTGTTTACATACAAAAATGTATACTTAAATATGACGTAGTATGTGGAAAGCAAATGTATTCTACATTTCCTAATGATTCCCGAAAGAGTCCCTTCCTCTGCTATTACCATTCAGGGTCAAAATGGTGTATGTAACTCACAATGGCATTTGAGACGGCCTTCCCATGGGCGAGGTCAAGGGAGAGGGTGTGGCTACCAACCCTTGGGAGAACGTGCTCCATCAGACCAGTAAGGACCTGCGCCTCTCGCTCCATATAGAGCCCACCCTCGTCTCCTACCAGGAATCTTGACAAAGTATAAATACACGAATCACGGGGTGTAAAGCGCACATACAACTACACTCAGGACAACACTACATGCCAAGGTGGAACTCACCCCGTGGCACTCTAACAGAGTGTTCCACTGGGGTAGCTATACAGTATCCCTAGAATTAAATCTTAAACATGACACAAGGCCAAGACAAACACCAATACTTTGTGCAATAGAACAATATGTAGAGACGTCTGTACAATCTGTGCTGCCTAAAGCATCATACGCGCGACATGGAACTTGAATTCAGAGGCTCCCAAATGCATTTGTCATACTTGAAATATGATAGTATGGATGCCCTAGCCCTCTAGCCCTACTTACAACACTTAGTAAATATCTTTGAACGATGGCGTATACATGTACATGTACTATTATACATAATACAATTAACTTAACGAAGGGCAACAGGCAATCAAAACATGGCTATACATCAAATAGCATATCCTGCAGTAGAGTACACAACTCACTTCTTGCCGCGGAGGTTAGCGTTGACATTTCCTTCCACACTCATTAGCTCTTTCACCGCATCGTTCTCAATGACTGCATCATGTATCGCCATGACCTCCTCCTCCCCTCCACCTCCCCCGTCTCCCATGGCCATGAGTGTGAACGCCGGCGGAGAGAAGAACTCCCAGTGGCCACACGCCCAACGCACCGGGTGGAGGTGTGTCCAGAGACTGGGGTCAAAGGTCAGTGGCTGGAGGGAAGGGTGAGTGATGGAGAGCCGCAGGAGGTCGCGGGGTCCGAGGTGACGTAGGACGACCAGGAGGACCTCGGGGGGCAGCTGGAGGAGGGAGGGACGCTGGGCAGCTCCATTTTGAGCTGTCAGTTTGGTGGACAAGATGGTGGAGGAGGACGAGGAAGAGACAGGGAGGTCCTCTAAAATGGAGAGAGAACATGAAGATAGCGATATAAACACACAATCCGCCTTTTCATTCCCTATTCTTGGGACTGAGGGAGCGTTAGGATTATGACACATATTGAGTATTTGGGATAATATAATGTACAATAATGGGTTCTGGATTTGCAATTCATACCGAAATGTCTAGAACTGTATGTAAGAGATAATGTGCATTTAGAGTTCTATACGTGATTTATGGGAACGAGGGGTGTGCTCGAGAGACTCATACAGCACGAGGCGCAGCCGAGTGCTGTATGAGTCTCGAGACACAACCCGAGTTCCCATAAGTCATGTATAGAACGATAGGACGCACATTATGTGTTTTATTGTGACTTTGTAGCAGTCGTCGACCTCCAGCGAGAGAAATACGACTGCGTAGCCTACTACCCATGCGCACGTGCGCACTCGCTGGCTTCTCGAGCGAGTTCTCTGTTCTCGAGGCTACCGTAATCGAACAAGGTCGTGATGGTGGCTCTTTCTCCCTCAGAGAAACTCGTTTCATAGGTCGCTCGGCCGTTTGACCGGTCGGTGTGCCGCGGCCGCGGTCTCGCTTGCCACTGGGAGCTGAATGAAGGGGTGTGGTCGCCTCAGCCATCCCTCGCCTCTACAGACTCTACAGAACAGTCATCCCTCGCCTCTAAAGCCTCTACAGAACAGTTTTTGTCTACACTATGGGCACGATGCTGTGCTAGTTCAATGAAAAGCACTAAAGTGCAAACCCTCAGCGAACTTATACTAGTATACGTTTACTCCCGCTAGTAGCTCGCGGAGAGTCTGAAACGGGCTAGCTACAGTAGTAGATAGCATGCGGGAGTCGATACACGCCCTTCGTTGTGACTTCTTGTGCCTCCGAGGTACACAGAGCAAGCAGATCAGGTCGAGGTAAGCTAGTGCTAATTAGCATATTGGCTTGTTCACTTGGTTTTCACGCCATAACTTCTGAACGCGGCACTTTTACGAAAATCGCCAATTTTAAAAATCAAGCCAGTGTAGCGCTGAACCCGTTGGTGTCGCTATTTTACCTGTTTGTTGCGCGTGGTTGCAGAAAACGTGGTAACAGACGGACAGACAGACAGACAGACGGACAAACCAAGTACTGTAACCCTCGCTGCGCATGCGTGCCGAGGGTTAATAATTCTTTTATTGAACGTTCAATATTGGTCATATTGAACGCGTCTACAATACGGGAAATATGAGTACGCGCGGCAGCTTTGATCCGCCCACGCAAGTCACAAGTACTGTAGATGATCTGTTTCATATTGTACACTCCCCAATCTAATGTGCTCTATAGATAATTCCATGATTTGGG